TAATTAAGTAGAACGTGTTGTCTATATTTATTTAAAGTTGCGCATTTTGATGTGACGTCACGTTTCTCAACCCCTCCCCCCATCGTCACACATCGTCACAAATGTGTGACCCCCCCCCCCCAGGTGGCAGACGTCATTTATAGACGGCCCCTTTGGGCATACTTCACCTTTTTCAGCGCAGGTTGGTGAAGCGACGGAACCCAGAATGGTCCAGATATCACTCGCTACTGATATCACCCGTGACGGGGAGTCTCACTCAACTCAGAGGCAGTGTTCACAGCGTGCAGTGCGCTAACCACTGCGCCACCGCTCTGCCCCCATTACATTTTTTTTTACACGGCTTCAAACTCCGATTGCCGCTCGTGATTTCAACTCAAGGATGCCCTCTATGGAGAGAAACTGGGAAACACGTTCTCGATTTTCAACTCAGGAATGTGACCATTCGTATGAATAAGATATACTTTATCGAATCAATACGTGCATTGAAGCGTCATGCATCCTTTATGTAACGGACTCACAACACCTCTGCAGCCAGTAGAGGCCGCTAAACCCATCACATTTAAAAACAGTCGTATTTAAACGGTGTAATAAAATCAGCACGTCGCACGTAACTTCTCAGTGTTACACACACACATACAAATGCCAGAATGTGACGAAAATAGATTTACACAACGCAATGTCCGTTACATAGTTTCAATAAACAATATAATGTTGTCCACCCCATTCTGTCAATCCACTGCTGGATGACGGACTCCCCGCGTTGTGTTTGACCATGGGGGGGGGGGAGGGGGTGTTTCACCATACTTCACCAAGCTGGCCAGCGTGGCTTGGTAAAGGGTGGTTTTGGGTTCAGGACTGCTTCAAATGAGCTCGGGTTCAGTGGCGGCTCGTCAATAGAGGGCGCAGGGGCGCCGCCCCCATCAATATTCAAGAAATATACATATGCAAAATTTATATAAAAATACATAAATAAAATATTTTTTTCATACGATGTGCCGGCTGGTAGTAAGAAAAGCATCAGCATTTAATAAAAACTGGCTTTAATCGGTCAACTATTTTCTATGTTTTTCAATGTGTTTCATGCGGGGCGCCGGACAAATGGATATCTATGTGAGACTTTACATTTTCGGACAGCATGTGACCTGAAGCTGGTCTCTAATTGGTTTCTTAAAGATTCTCCTCGGGGCGCAAGTCGTTGCGTCCCTGGCCAATCAGAATTGGATACATGTTATTTTATCCAATCTGATTGGTTCTCGTCACCTGTCATTCAAATTTACGCTGTAGGCCACTACTGCGAGTGCGAAGGCGACACCACTTTGACACTTGCTAGGCTGATCAAATTTTTTGTGTAAACAATGGCAGCAGTTCATCCAAATTCTGTAATTTATTTACAAAAAAAACCCTTTCACAAGGCTTTCGCTGGAAGAAATAAAAAAGATAAAGGATCTCGGACCGGACCAACCCGATTTACAAATCCAGCAGCAGGCCAGTGACAGAGGACGAAGCTACACACGAAGCTTCACCCGCGCTTGTTATGAGAAACGGAGGTGGCTGGCTGGATGTGATGTTAGCAATTCTCTTTTTTGTTTTCCCTGTCTTTTATTTCAAAGTGTCGGCACTGAAGTTTTGTGGACAACGACGGGGGTAAGAGACCTCAAACATCTCTCTGACAAATGCAAACGTCATGAAAGTAGCCGCAGCCATATTGATAATAGCATGAAACTAACGTTTTTATGTTCAAGTAGGAAACATGCTTTTTGGTACTTTGGTCTGAAATGTATATAAAAGAGAAACATTTATGTTCAAGTAGGAAACATGCTTTTTGGTACTTTGGTCTGAAATGTATATAAAAGAGAAACATTTATGGTCAAGTAGGAAACATGCTTTTTGGTACTTCTTTTGGTCTGAAATGTAAATAAAGATCATCAAAATTTATATTCAAGTAGTCAAAATGGTTTTTGGTACTGCTTTATATTTATTTGCCCCCCTCAATAAAATAAAAAAAATGCGCCCCCCCAAAAATAAATATCACCAGCCGCCACTGCTCGGGTTACTGGCTCCATATCACAGTGCACGAACCACTGCACCACAGCTCCCGTGCACATCGCAATATCGCTCGGATATACTTGCACGCATATCATACCCAGGCAGACCCCCCCCCCCCACACGTAATTCTGCGCAATGCACACAGCTCCTTTGTTGCCAACGCACTGCCGGATGAACGCCTCCCCATGTCGTGTTGGTCACGGGGGCGTTGGTGTCACCATCCTGCACCGCGCTGCTCAGTGTATATCGTTTATTGTTAAATTCGAATCACAGTTCCTATGATTTACTGTTGTTACATTGTTCTCATAGCTTTATTTCGCTGATTTAGAGAACATATGGTTAAGCCGTGTTTCTTGCGGAAGTGCGGAGTTGGCCTGATAACTTGCATCTAAATTGTCTTATGGTTTTTATTGTTTGACTTGCATCACACTGGGATTTTTGCACACAGCGTTGTAATACGGTGGGGGTTTTTTTCTGGAAGATTTGCTGGTTTATCCAGGATGTTTCTGTTGCGCGTCATCGCTTTAAGATGTTCCCTGTTCATATTTTGTTTGTTGCGGTTGCGCCCGACTCAAGAGCCGCATGGCTCACAGGGCTATACCTAATAAATGAAACTTGAAACAGTACGGGTTTGCTGATGGCTTCAGACATCACTCGCCACTGGCGACAGTCGCAATCGCGAATCGAGCTTCTGTCAGTCGACGATCTCAGAGTTCAGTGCGCAAACCACTGCGCCACCATCCCCCCCTCCTCCCCCTCCACCGCGATAATTTAATATAACACGACAGTATCATCATCATCGGGCACTCTCTACCCACTGCTGGATGATGCCGTTGTCGTTGCTGAACTGGAAAAATGTATGCACAGGAATCAGTAACCCCTCCTTAAAAGAAGTTGTGAGACTCGGTGAGGCTCTTCTGGGTAATGATGCGAAATGGTTAAAGCGACCCCCTCACAAATCCAGCACTGCCACCATCCATCGCTTCATCTGCTCTTTCAACGCTACTCTGTGCAAAGACAAAAATCCCCCGTGTAGCCTTAACAGACTGTTAGGGGCAAGTACTGTTAGCGATCGCCTATGAAGGCCGGGTCTTCAAACGAAGGGGTGCGTGGCGAGCACCACGCCCGGGCGCCTTTGACTCCTTAGTGGCGATGTTTACTAAACACCGCACCAGGTGCCTATTTGAGGCTGAATCGACCTAAGGGAGGCCCAAGACCGGTTCAGAGAATCGTCACAGGCGTTGGTGGGGCTTGATCGGGAATCGAACTCGGGTCGCAGGGTTCGTAGCGTAGCGCGCTAACCGCTGCACCACCGCTCCCCACGTGCTATAGAATAAAGCTACGCGAAGCATGTCTTGTACTTGTGCGTGAGCCAATACATTCCATTTGAAATATCACAAATCTGGGATTAATATGGATACTGTATATTTTTTATGTAAATAATCCTTGCTCGTGATTTTTTTTTTGTAGCCAGAGAAATGATAATTCCTCATCATCTTGCTGCCCCGAGTCTGCCCAGGAATGCAAGAGGGGGTGGGTGGGTGGGTGGGTGGTCGGGGCTCAGTCACAAGAGAAAATAAATCATTGCCGGGACTGACTTCCAGGTTCAACTGCAGTAACCTGCCGTGGAAAAAGGCGAAAGGCTGGCTGGCATTCATTATTTACGAACCAGAGAACGCAAGTCTGTACCCTCAGGGTTATCTTACTTCTGCAACATCTTCTGCTAGTCCATGAAGGTCCCAAAGGAGAGACAATAGAATGCGGAATTCCATTCGTTTGTGCGTGCAGTGCATTGTATGTGTACCGTTTTGGCTAGATTATAAGACGCTCTGGAAAATAAGACACACACCCCAAACTTTGCGTCCGGTGTCAATAAAGTTATACAGATCTGGTGGTGACCCACACCTATCGGATTATAATACTCATCCTATTTTTTTATTTAATATGCAGTTTATACCCATCATTATTATCAGCCACGGTGAATCCACTGCTGGATGAATGCCTCACCAAGCCGCCTCCATCTCCTACGACCCTGCCATGTAACACTGCACGCAGCACCTACACACGGGATGGTTTAAAGGCTCGAATGCCTCTAGGACGTGCTCCATTCAGGTACGGTGAGTCCTCGTGTAACGCGCTAGACGCGTTCCTCAAAAGTGCCATTTAAAGCGAAAAACATGTTGAGTGAAAACGCATTAAGCGAAAAAACTATTTAGCCACGAATAACGTTTGTCGAGATGCGATGTACGCACACAGAGCAAGATGATGGCACACATAACTGAGGGCACGCCGCCGTGCTACTGAATCTTTCTGAGCACTGTATACCGCTTAGCGGCGTAGCTCGAGAAAGTAGTTCGTTGACGTCTGCTCAGAAACGCGTTATATCGGCGTGCATTCCGAGTCATAACAGATGAGTTCCAAATTATAATGATGCGCATTCCGCGTTATAACAGTGCACGTTCCGCGTTATAACCGTGGCCATTCCACCTTCTAAATAAATGCTCACCAATGAGAACATCTATATCCCTGAGGCCTGGACTATATTTAAATATTTAACTTGCGTTTTCTCTTTTCACGTGAAAATATATACGTGGGAACAGAGTGTCCACTCTAAGTGGACGCTGTGTTGTGTGCTCTCTGGATGCTGCCTGGGGACTGTTTCGCAAAAACGCATTCGGTGAGGACAGCTGGAAGACCAGAACCACAGTGCTGATGGAGTGGACTGTGGCTGACAATACGTTAATGGTTGAACCTTCCGCGAATATTTTACAGTCCACTCTTCCAGTACCGGGATAATGTGTTAAGGAACTCGGATAAAACAAAACACAAAGGTAAAACCATACGGATACTATCTACTCCGTAACGAAAAAAATCAACACAGTTGGTAAATAACACTACTCTAAAAGAGTAAAAATATAATAGGCGACTTTTCGTGCAAGATATTTTCCACTCACCAGATATATCTTAAGTTGGAGAGCACTTGCCATTGCCCCGAAACGTCGCCGGTCATCATTGTTTTCCTTTCAAGACAGTGTCCTCGACGCGTGTGTTGAGTCGTTTCATGAAGATGTGTAAAAGGATGTATGAAAACGTGTGGTATTTTTTTGGGTTGTTGTAAGAAACGTTGAAGTCGCCGCGTGTGTGGGCGGACGTGTTTGTGCAAAAAAAAATGACGCTTGCAAACAAAACACGAAGATGCCTCTGCGGTGCCAAGAGACACATTCTTGGGTGCGTTACAATGACAAGGCGTGCCAGGTCCCAGACACTCGTGTGGGTTTCCGTAAGTGGGCCGAGATCGCAAACACTTAGCGAGTGGAGACCATCGTCGCCTTCGGTTCATTGGTGTGCTTCGGACCTGTTTGTTTGCCGATGGGAAATCAGCGGTGCAATTAGCAAATCAGCAGTGGTGTCTTTGTCGCGGAAGCTCACGCATAATCTGTAACGAGGATCACAAAGCCCTTGCCAGCTGACGGCAGGTGCCTTACATCGTCTCGTCTTCCATTCAGGCCGTATACTGGCAACTGAGTTTGTTTTTCGATGGCAGCCGTGAGGGTGCAGGTGGTGGCACGGTGGTTACCACGCTGCGCTATGAACCCCGGCCCATATGAAGTGGATTCCCGGCGAAGGTCAGTGGCGAGTGATATTAAAATTGGTCCTGACCCCCCCCATCTCCACCAACAACCCACGATGGGCAGCGTCCTGTGAAGTGTGGTCAAAGAACATCCATGACTAACGTGGCGTGCGGCTGCCTTCATATGTTGGTGGATTCTAGGACGCATTACCCCCCCCCCCCCCACGTCTTTTAAAGGAAGAGTCGGGGATTTGCCTCATAATCCAATACACGGGCGTGTGTGTGTGACAAGTTTCTACCGTATATCTTAATTCGTACCGGGGCACAGCGTTGGTGTGAGTATTTCATTTTTTCCGAAGCGGCTTATTAATGCGGAGAATACGGATTAAAGCCTTGCTTGCTGGCTGTGTTAAACGAAAAGGGGTGCGATGTCTCAAATCTGTCCCGCCACTTGTGAAACACGAAATCCTCATTCAGGGTAGTTGTGGAGATTCTAAGTAGAATGACGCGTTCTTACCATATATGTCTCCCCCGGAATACAAACAACTATACAAGTAATTTTTTTTTGTACTCGTCCAATTCCATCGATCACACAGCTCGCCGATAGAGTAACATTTCCAGCAACATTTTTTTAATAGCCTACAAGCAAACTGTGGACTGGTTTCGATACGTGTAGAAACAGACATGGGCAAGAGGCTTATTGTCTGCCGATGTATTTTGTTGCTGTGATATAAACTGTGCTGGTGATTCAGTTTTCAGTTTAAGTTTATTTGATATAGCCCTGTGGGCCATTCGGCTCTTGAATCGGGTGCAGCCGCAACAAAACAAAAACATGAACAAGAAAACATTTTAAAGTGACTATGCGCAAACATAAAAATCCAGGAAAAACTGCAAAGTCTTCCAGAAAAAACAACGTGATCGGGCGGCCTTCCAGATTTGCAGTTTTAATCCGTAAGTCCGCCCTGGTTATCACTGCAGGTGTAGCAACCATGAAATACACGCTCTTCTAAGAACAAATGGCCATCGTGTGCCGGCATCATATGTCCAGATTTGGCAAAACAAACCCCCGTTAATTACTTAATTGGGAAATTCATACCGATCGTTGCCCGCATCTGCTAAACCCCATCGTTAAAAAAAAGAGTACTTAGACTCAGCGACGCTTTTCATGGGCAAACATTAGGTTGGCAATAGTGATAATAATGTATGCTTATTTTCTGGCCATTGCGCCAGCCTGCAGCTGCTATGGGGAGCCAGCCCCCGATCTCATGACCACTTGCTGTGAAGCGATGCCCTCGTAATGGTGGATAGGGGGCGCTCGCTGTGAAGGAGCCGGAGCCATGCCCTTTGTAAGTGAACGCACCCCATCTCCACCCCCACCCAGTACCGGATTAAGCTGGTGCGGGGCCTGAATTTTCGTTATAAAGGGGCCCAAAATAAAAATAAAACATACATATTAAAACACAATTTTTTTTACTTGCTTAGTAAAGTAATTTGGATTTTTTCATTTGCTATACAGCCAGATAATACGACAAATCGCTAAAGCTTAAACATACAGTCGTTCATAAAAGTTTAAGGCAGTATAGTACTATAGCAATAGAGCAAGTGCAGAATCACTGAACCGGAATTGATAGCTTTAAAGCATTTAGCGCGGGGCCTTTGAAAGTGCGGGGCCCGTAGCATATGTAGCTACTTTTGCGACTAGGATAATCCGGCACTGCCCCCACCACCTCCCTTCTCCCCACCCCCACGGGTTTCCGTTCTCCACCAACGTATTGACCCAAGAGGAAGGACAATTGCCCAAACACGTCGCCTGTTACATTTATATATTTTAGTTTCCCTTTTCGGGCAGTGTTTGGTATTGACGAACGTGTTAAGTTGTTGTTGTTTACCCACTGCATCAAGTACCACCCCGCAGCGATGGGGTGGACTTTGTTGACAGCTTTGTGTGAAGCTCTTATATGGTGTCATGTATTATCCGTGTTGTTTCCCCTGGCACGGGGCAGTTTTGCCCTGCTCAATCCGGCTGTTGCTGTTGTTGTTGTAAAATCCATCCACTGAGTACTCACTTCCTGTCAAGCAGCACGGCCTCGACTGGGATTTTGCAAACAGGAAACTGAACCCCACGGGCAAGCTGCTGTCAACCAGTATAGTCATTTCCATGTTGATTTACATTCACGTTCAAGTCAGCAACAGTGGTCATCCACTCATGTCTGTCTGGTTTTTGAATTTGCTTGTCAGCTTCAAACAACTGGCCCACAGGCATTGTTGCTTTCAGCACGCATACCGTCTACATTCTTTGATATTTTTCTGAATGATTTTTTTCAAGCGATTTCCATCACAAACAGAAACTACTTATATCTCAATGGGGCATCGTCTGGTTCTATTTAGAAGTATCAATTCACAAGTCAGGAGCAACCCATCATATTCACAGGGTAAATTTCCATTGCATGAGTGACCTCAAGCTGTCGTTCAACTTAGGCCTCTGCAGGATTAGTGTGGTGAAACATTTCCAGTCGTTTCTTTTTTCAGTCTTGGTAAAAAAAAAATGTGGAAAATTATATATTTTTGTAACTTGAGATTTTAGCTTTGAATAGTGTAACATAACCCAAGCATTAGGGTTAAACATTGTTAAAACATAATGATTTATAATATATTTATAATTGCTGCTTCCCTGCGACTGGGGATGCAGCCACGATAGGGTCAAGTAGAGCAGAAGGGGACACAATCCACGGAGCCGCGTGGCTTTTGACACAATAATCGAGCCGTGCTAGGCAGCCTTTGTAATGAACCAGAAGTGCCTGGGCACGGCCTTGGCACCGCACGGTTCTGACTTGGATTCGTCGTGGACATGTGGTATCGTTCAGCACCGATGGGGCTATGGCCATCAGTGCCCCTGGACTCTGTCAATGGCCCTGGTGATGGCTCTGACATTGAGTGGACGAGAGCGCCAGCCCACAGGGATCGAAGGAAACAATGTTCCCCACAAACAGTGCGCCGGTGTCGGACGACCGCAAACATGCGGCCTTTGGGGAAATTTCTTGCGCTGGGTCTGACTCTGTCACGGTGGCGTTTTGACGTGCAAGCTTGTGAGATCTCGAAGGATACATTTTTTGTATCAATCTTATTTCATGGTTTTTTGTTTCCTTTTCAGCTGGAGACCGTGGTTCTGTATTAAATTACGCCCCGCTGTACATTTATATCACATTCTTTAGTTGCAGTATTTAATACGTTTGGATATTTCACTCGTATTTCTTTGTTGAGTTGAAATATAGATGGAAGCAACTATGCCTTTAATGTATGGAGATGGAAGCAGCTGCGAAAGAAATGTAGATGGAAACACGTATATAAAATTTAAGCGATTTATGGATTTAATGCATGACAAAAAAAAACAACCTGGTATATGGGTGAGTCATTGGGGGAGAAGGCACGACATGGCTTCATTGATTCATTTCTCCAGCTTGCTTCAATAATGAACTCCTTTGGCGAAATTCCTTCTGCTCCCTCGCCGCGTCACGCAGAGGTTGTTGAATCCACATCCACGTGTGTTCTGCTAACGCGATTTGCGGAACGAGGGCAACCGCTCAAGTTCGACGCGCGGGTTATAAACGAAGCGTTTATCTCCGTCGAGTGATCAGAATTTCCAGCAAGGAGCCGATTATCTGTGTGTTTTTGACCGCTGGCCCAATATTCCAAGGCGTGCAACCCTCGCAGCGCGCAGCGGTAATTCACGGGACTCGCGCCTCTTCCTCCGAGCGTTCAAAATCAACGAGAGGACGTCGTCGTTAGGCAACGACGGACAGCGTTGACATCTGCGGTGTCGGCCTGCCATGCGAGTGGGGGGAGATGAGAGGGGGGGGGGAGCTCCGAGTTGGCGGCAGAAAATGCGGCTGTGACGTGGGGCCCAGCATTGACGAGCGTCGCTTGGTCGCGGGCCGGGCGGCGTTGATTGTAAAGGTCACCACTCGCGGTTGCGCACCTAGCGACCGACCGCATATGAAAGAGTCTGTTTATGGATCAGAGCACCTTTGATGGGCTCTCGGGAGGAAAAATAAATACAAAGCGGAGATTTGTGGAGGTTTCTTTTCGTTGTTGTTGTTGTTGCTGTGTGCTTTGAGAATGGCTGTAATGATGGCAACGGTATGTACGATGCATTTTTGTTGTTTTGTGTACAATGCAGCCCTTTGAAACTTTTCGTGGACTTTTTTTCACGTATTAATTTCATGCCTCAAAAGGCAGGATTGGAGAGAACGCCGCCGAGAGAATGTTCACCGTGGAGATGGAGCAATTGAATCAGCTCGTGTGCAGGTGCTGGATGGGAGGCGTTCATCCAGCAGTGAATTGATCATGGCAGATCATGATGATGATGATGAAAGGCAAGATGAGGTCAGTGGAAAAGTTAGCTGTCCCGTGACAATTCAAAGCCCCTAGTGATGATGGTGTCAGAGTAATGTTGGTTTTTCTCCATGCAGATTTGATTTAACAAATA